GATCCTCAGACTGCAGTACATTTTATGTAAATACAGAGTGGACGTGTCCAACTTTCAGGGCCAGAAAAAGAAGGACCAAAAGTCTATTGTCCTGAAAAGATACGTGGCCTTGTGGAAAGGTCTAGAATGTAAACCCGAGATTTATAGACAGTTTGATTTCTTTTGTTTATCTGGAGTGAAGCAACTTATCAACTTGTGTCATGTATTTGAAGGTTCTGCTTAATTGCTGCCTAGCGAATTAAAATTTATGTTGGTACCAAAAGTACCAAAACGTCTGACAAATTTTGGATTTGCTTAATTTTTAAACAAGAAAAAACAATCCTATTAACTTCTTGGTATAGTTTCTTACCTCTGACACTATGTAGTTTATGATGAAGCATCTGTTTTAAGAATTCTGTTAACGTTCTTACAGGATTACAGCATTCTACTTAAAGCTACTTAATGATTCTATATTAAATTCTCACTGTTTTTGTTGTGGAATAAACATTTTTCACAATAAAAGCATACTAATTTTCTAGTTCATACTTTATGTAAGATAACCAATTATTTTAGGAAAATGATGGACTAGATTAAAATATATATTTCATAAGTTGATAAGCGATTGCCAGAAGAAAAACATGCATGTGTCTTAATTGTCATTATTTTTTCTCCTTTTCTCCTTGACACTTTCTTTAATGATATAAATTACTAATCAGAAACTGATTATGCCAAGCTATCCCCGGCATTACTTTTCTATGAAATATGAAGAAAAAACTGATTCATGTCAAGCACTGTTTTTAAATAAAAGTTGCATTTTGATTTTAATGCAAGATAATAGGTCACTTTACTTTGTACACACTTAAACTAGTACTCAGTGGTTTAAAAATAAATGCTATGTTACTAAATTAATTAATAGAAGAAAAGTTTTTGCACATTCAAGAAAGTTAATAGTATATAACTTACAAATTTTTAAATTTTTAATTACAATTAAATGAAAAAGTCTCATCAAATTAATATATAAACACAACTACTTTAAAAGTCTATAATGGCAGACAACATGTATCAACAATGCACTATTGTAAATGGGATATAGATTTGTACTTCAGTGAAAAATGTTAATTCCAGAATCCAAGCCAGAAAATGCAGATTTTCTGAGAACATAATAGATTTGAAATATTGTGTATATTACCAAGAAGTACATCCTTAACACAAAGCAGTTAATACAAGTCATAGTGACAATCCCATTGATATGATCCTCAAATATGTTGATAATAGAGCAAAACCAGACACTATAGGTAAATATTCCAATTTCTGAGTAGCATCCCCAACAGCAATATATTTGGTACTCATCACTTAGTAAACATTTCCTGACATATCCAATAATATACATAAAGCAATTTTTGTTAAAGTAGTACCAAATGTATTTTAAGATTATAGGAATCTAATTATATAGTATTTAAACTGCCCATTAATTGACTTATCAAGGCAGGACACTGAGGGTGGTTATTCCAAAGGTTGCATGAGTAACTAATACCAATTTGTTTTACTTCATTTAAAATATGTATTGGTTTATGAACTGTATTTAATTTGAGTGTTTGCTTTACAAATAGAAGAATTCTACTAAGGCTTCGGCTATAGTAGGGGTTAGCAACCTAAAACACTCAAAGAACCACCAAGGTCCTAACAATTGTTCAATTGTGGAGCCGACCGGAAGTCCAATTCCCACACGATATAGTCTTCTCCTAGTGTAGCTCCTTTTTCCTCTGCCAACTGGAAGTCTGGTTCCCCCCACCACTATAGAGTCTCCTCCTAGTGTGGCATCCTTTTTCCTCTGCCAACCAGAAGTCCGGTTCCCCCACCATAGCCTCCTCCTAGCACGGCATCCTTTTTCCTCTGCCTGTCCTAACCGAGAGCCCTAAACTTAACCCTATCAATTGTGGAGCCGGCTGGTGAGAGGGAGCTGCAGCAGAGGGATGAAAGAGCCACATGCGGCTCCAGAGCGACGGGTTGCTGACCCTTGGGCTGTGGGAAAGGAGAAAGATATGATTTTAGGGTGCAGGGCTAAATTTTCTCTGCTACTCCCTGCTCTACGATTTGTAGATTTGGAATAGTCTTCAACTACCTTCATGTATCTCTTAGAAAGATACAATGAAAAAAGGAATGTGCGGAAATCGTATTTCCATTCTTGGCTGGGACAATTTCATGAATGCAGTTTTGGCTGTCAAAAAATAATTTCTGGCATCATTTCTAATGTAAATTTGTATGCTTCCCAAGAACCTAAAAATCTCATTATTGTTAACACTAATTTAGTGTCAGTGTATATAACTACTCCTAACATTTGCAGGAAATTGTAGAGCAGTATAAAATACAGAGTTATTTGTATATCTTTCATCTGTATTCTTTGTCATACATTACACATTATTATTTTAGTTTATACCAGTATGAAAAAGGCTGATTTACCTAGAAAAAAGGATCAGAGCAATCCACCACTGTTCTTAGGGCTACAAAAATAAGGGATTTGAAATGTAAGTGATTTATGGACTGGCCATTCTGTTCAACCCACTTGCAGAACAAAATCCCTAATTTTAACTTTGTAGTTTCCAATTCACAAGGTGGGAAATGTCATTGGATTAGGGGGGGGGGGATAGTATTGATACAGCCGTGTCAATGTATTAGGTACCATTTTGAATAATAGAATATGTAGCATAATATCACTCTGGCAGTCATAACGTTACGTTTAGGTTGTATATATCTCTATTTACTCTAAAATGCGCATTAGAGAAGTTTGAAGGAAAGTTTTATTGCCATATTTGTGGGAAAGCTTTATAGCAATTAGTTAGTCTGGCTTTATCTGCATTAACCAAGAACCCCATGCTGGTTTGTGATACTATATCACTATTTCTCTCAGGTGAACCTGGTGTTGGGTCATCTGTGCCTATGATGCATGTCATGAATGAGGGACACAAATTGGTCCCAGAATACACTCCCTGTGTTGCAAATCATTCCCTTATTGAGTCCTCTTTATGACCCTTGTATTTTGCTGGCCACGTGCCTCTGAGCAGAAAAGACGATGCCATGACAGATAATCAATACCATCAAAATGGGCACCTCTTTGGTAAAATTCAGGGCAAGCTTTAGGAGATACGGTTTTTTCTTTTAAAAAACAAACCAGACAAACATTTTAAGAACATCCTGGGAATGCTTCCAACTTATTTCAGATCATTTTCTTTTCCTACCCTATGCTGGGCATAAATGTGAGCATGCAAACAACAACAACAAAAAGGATTATATTTTTTTTTCACAAGAGGCAATGTTTTTAAGGGATGTTGAAATTTTTTATCAGATACTGTAACTAAAAGAAAAAAAAAACCCAGAAAGTTTAAGCATATATAATTATTGGAGCTATTGGGTAAATTACCCGAATATTTAGCACTGGCTCCATTTTCATCCCATTGGGGAAATAGTGAGTAAATAGAACCAAATGGAGGAATAGAACCAGATTTGATCAAACTTTGGCCAAAATGTTATACTGATGAAAGCTGAGATGGAAAGATATAATGCTGTATTTTTTCTAAAAATCTCAGCAAGTAAAAGAATACTATGTACTAAATCCACAAATATACAGTTGCTGTTTTTGTAAATCGTGGTTGCATTTCAAGTCAATCTTACTCATTTAATATACATTAAGACTTCATCTTTTTCCCTTCTGTGTATTGATCAAGTCTAAACCTTTTATAATCCCTTTCCTTCCTTTCCTTTCCTTTCCTTCCTTTCCTTTCCTTTCCTTCCCCTTCTCCTTTCCTTTCCTTTCCTTCCCCTTCTCCTTTCCTTTCCTTTCCTTTCCTTCCTCTTCTCCTTCCCTTTCCCTTTCCCAGCATTTTTCTCTTGCCTAAGGTTATATGGCAGTAGAAGACACAATACAATTCCTGAATAAGATCTTCATGGTCGTTTTGCATTTTGCTATTTCAGTGTAATCTACTGCTGTTCAAGGCAAATTCCGTATATTAGTCATGTAGTAGAGTGGTTTAAGTAAAGTAAAACAAAACCCAACATTTTGATACACACAGCAAGATTTCAATACAATTTAACTGTACGATTTTAATAATATAAAGTTATACATGGAAACAAACAAACTATTGCAGATCAGAACATTTACCTCTTCATTGTAATATTCCATATTTCCCACATACCGTCTTCGTGTGATTTTTTTTTGCCCCCTCCCCTTTATCAACTGCTCAGGTTTGGGGAGGGGTCATATTACAAAAATGCCAGATCATTTTAGGTTTCTTATATGTACCAGCAGATATAAAATAATAGAAGCTTTGTATCTTTTAGGAAGGTCATGTGAAGGCCATTCATTTTTTCCCGTTTTGTTAATTTTTTATGGTATTAATGCAAATGATCTGGTCCTCTGAATTGTACTTTAGCTGGATGTGGTGTAACAGATTATTCCATGGATAAAACCAACATATGAAAAATAAAGCCACTTTTACTCCATGTGAATTTATTCAGTTAACTTGCACAAATGACATTATTTGGGGTTTTCTGATCTGCTTAAGATTATTGAGTTAGGAAATAGTATGGAATTCTTTTCTGTTCTTCATTCTATTAAAACATAAAAGAATAGATTGGAGAAGGGCATCCGTGGTTTAAAGTCAGGTGTTATCAATGTGCTGATGATATCAATTTTATTTTCCCCAGTTTTTGAAGTCATTGCAAGATCACTGTTACTATTAAACTTTAGTCTAGATGTTTTCATAAGCTGCGTCACAGCCAATAAAGCAATGCTATCTGACAAGAGGGTGTCTATATGGATCAGTGGTTCTTATTTTTGGGACTGGACAAGCAACAGGCACTGAAATGGATGCATTCAGCCCTTCAGGGAGTGTATTTTCAGTGTGCTGCTAGATTCATCTTTGTCAATTACAACCCTAATGATTTAATTATTTTGGACAGTTTGGACTTACTGATTAAAAATATAGGAACATACATTACTATGTGATGATTATTAGCCCAAACTGACCAATTTATCTCAGTTTTACAGGAACGGAAGTCACTTTCGGTGGCTTCTGATCTGAGTTCAAGGCATTGATGGTAGCTTTAAAACAGCTGGGGACATTGATATTTAAAGGACAGCCTCTGTTGTATCACTTGCCTAAATATTAAATATAAAAATTTGATGAGGGGTTTTTCCTCCACCTTCCCTTTATTCGAAGAAATGCAAATGTGAGACATGGGTTTTCTATTTGGCTTATGAAACTCTCTTCTCTCAAAAGCCTGGCTGGGACATGCCTTTGTTTTCTTTCAACGTTACATAGAGACCTGACAATTTATCCAAGTTTGTTGGTAGTTTAGCTTGGTTAATCTGTTTTATCTATCTTGGTTTATTTATCATGTGCTAATAAGTACTTTCATATTGATGTGTTTGTTGGTTTTATCTTCACCCTGAGTTCTCTTGATCCAGTGCAATTATCAACATTTTATTAAGCAAATAATTAAAGTGCACAGATGTAGGAGATACGAAATAGTAATTAATAGATGGGGATGATCCAGTTGATTTCTTCTGAATACGTACTACGACTCACCAAGAGAGATGGATAGTGATCGTGTAATATTGCATGCACGATAAAAAAATAACTATTGGGAGAGGACTGCAATCTCCATTTACTAAAGTTCACACTTTGAAGATTTGCAACAGCTCTGCAAGATAGTCTTGTGTTATTCCTTACTTTAAAGCTGGAATGATAGTTAGGTTTTGAACCAGAATTTTACAGCTTTTACAGGTTTGGGGGCATTTTAATATTTGGAGCTGGCAAACATCTTACTATATCTTCCTAGTATGTGATGTATTTCTTTTATTTCCCTTTAATTTCAGTGCACCAATGCCTTATTTGATCGGAGTTCACTTCAGTTTAATGGAGGTAAGTAACTTTCTCTTTCACCGTGTCTATATGTTAAGGCTGCGTAATGTGCAAGCACTTTAAAAGCCTAACTGGCTGTCTTATACTATTCCTGAAAAGGCTTCAATATTTTAAAATAAATGCAACTTATGGATAATTGGAAGGAAAAAAAAGAAGGCAAGTTGGTTAACCTTGGATTCCTCTGTTTTATATGAAATTCTCTCTAGTTGAGAAACAGAATAGAGCTTCCCATCTTCATTAGCTACAGCGGAGAACAGTTTCTTCCACGTGAACCCTTGAAGAAGTCCTAAACATATTGGCATCAAAAAGGAATGCTGAACATTCTCCCAAGCTCTTCTGGCAGTGGGCCATTTAATGATATCTAGACTTCTTCATGGAAGGGAATAGAATTATGGAGTGGGGAGGAACCAGGCAGAATCACCTGCTTGTTTCAAATATGCTTGCAATTATTTGAGAAGTTCAGACTGAGTGAGAATTAGTAAAGGAAAAAAAATGGCCAGAAACTATTATAAGAAAAATAATCTTCCCCATAGTATATCCATATATGATGGGCCATTTCATTTAACATATACATACATACAACTCTAGCCTATTCAACAGTATCATGGAATTGCTTCCATGATATCAATAGGGACATGCCTATATATTAAATGTACACAATCATGTGAGAATATAATATATTATCTGTTTCTTACTGTCTATAAATCTGTATCAGCTGTGTTTTATCAGTCTGTGCTTGCATTGGTCAAAAAAAAGGAAAGTTTAAGGAATCCCCTGCTAACCAGGCCAAATATCCACTTGTTCTAGTATTTTGTTTCTCACAGTGACTAGGCAAATATTGGATAAATGTTTTTATATAGTGACAGAAGAATCGGAGATCCTATTCAGGCATTCCAAGAAATAATCTGGACGAGTATTATTTCTAAGACTCTGAATTTCATTAATCATGGTAATGATGCATTATATAAGGGAATTCTTAATACACAATGCTGCCATGGAAATATTTATTTCTGACCTAGATTGCTTCATCTCTAGTTTGTTTGCTTGTTCATTTACAATTTAGATTTGTATGTTAAAAACACGTGTATGTTTTTAAATGAAAACCAGAAAGAGAAGCACTCAAATGCTTACGTGTATATTTTTTCTTATTCAGAGAGTCAAAAGCAAGTCACTGGAGGATGTGGTGATGCTAAATGTTGACACAAATACATTGGAAACACCATTTAATGACCTGAGCAATCTACCAAGTGAAGTGGTGAGTATATAGTTGGTTTTATCCTCTTTGTTATTTGAATTACTTATTTTTCCCTGCTAAGTTAAAAAAAAAAACCTACCTTCCCCCATCAAACATTATGTTATCAGCTATAGATTTCCTATTTAATGGTGTCTTGTTTGTTTGTTTACTTGCTTTTGACAGCTGAGGAAATGTTGAGTGGAACATCATATTTTTTATTGTGAGGAAAAAGGGGAGATCATAATTATAAAGCTTGCTGCATTCATTAGGCAGAGCAGTTTTAAATGCAAGAGTCTCTTCATCTCATCTTAATCATTATATTACAAAGTAGGCATTTCTGTCTGCCTAGTGGCATATCTTGCAAGGGAAAAAAAAGGAGTTTTTGAAGGCAAAAAGAAGGGGGCCAATTATCGGCTTCTGGTTCCCTGCCACCTGCCAGCACTCCTCCTTTTAATTAATGATCTGATGACATTGGTCAATATAATAAGAAATGCTTGTAGAGTGGGGTCGGAAAATGCATACTTTGATCTCCTTCAACTTTCTGAAACATTTATTTGTTTTGTCTAAATTACTTCAGTTTTATTTTAATCTCTTCCATCCTGCTGAGGATGGCATGAATTGAAAACTCTACACTGTTTGTCATTTGCTCTGGCAAAGCAACGATGCCATACTTATAATTCTATTTGTAAATTAAACTGCAAAATCTGTTTGTCATAAGAGACGTTGGATCCTTTGAAAATGACGAAAACTGTCTTTTGTCTGCAAAGGCAGATAAATTAACTGGCAGATACACTCGGACTTTGATCTCATGAAGTTTCTTCTTCTTCTGGATGCTTATAATAGGATGTATTCTACAGTTCATGTTATATAGACACTCCAAAAATAGCATTTTACTTTCTTTTGGTCTTCTCTCAACATGATTCTGAAAAAATAAATTCCCCACCACCACCACAGTTTGTTCATTTTTAAGACAGAATTCATATCAGAATATTTATTGATATATGTTATTTAAAACAATAAAAGCATAATAAATATTCAAATTAATGTTTTACTACTTTGCATTTGAAAATAAACTAACAAACATGGGTAATAGGAAATTACATGGTTCATTTTAAAAACTATTTTAAACAAATTAACATCAGAATAAATTTAAATCTCAAAATATTGTGATTATTGATGGAAATATATATTTTGATTTTGCACTAAGAAGAAGTGATCATTTATGTATGTCCCATATAAATTCATAGAGCTATAGTTGGGTAGTTTCCAAGAATACAGAGTTCTGAGTACAAAAGAGATTTCTCTTTTTATGCACCCAATGTATGAAGAGGTTCACATTTTTGCATAAATCTACTAAAGATGATCTAGGCTGCCTATATTTCTATTTTGGATTCTTCTGCCCTGTTTTTCTAAAAGACAATATGATTTGACAGATTGCCTAAAATATTTAGTAGAAAATATATATTTTCATCTGTTTATTAAAGAAAATTGGATTGAATAGAATGTCAATTCAAAGATTTCTAGATACTTTTATCTACAAGCAAGCTTGTATATTAATATTGGTGAAATAGAATCTTATGCATGAAAAGAAAACATCAATGAATTGTGGTAAGTTGTTAGTGAGAACATACTGGTCTGTTTATGAACTTACTCCATATGAAATCCTACAAACGTCTTATATTAATTAAAGTTTGTCTTTTATAGAATAGGCAGTGGAGCTTTTACAAAAATGAACATTCCATGTAAAATATTAACATAAGACAATATATTATTTGTATACTCTAAAAAGTTTTATTTTTCCCTTCTGGTAATACTATAGTTTATTTCTTTTACCAATTGTTTAACTGTCCTGATTGCTTCCATTCTAAATGTGCCTTTTTGTAGATCTCAATTGTTAATTAAAACCACATCTAAGCATAAATTGAAAGTGGAGTGCTTATCTTCTCTGCAATTTTGTGAGTTTATAGACCAAGAAAGGTTGATACTGCATTATGTACATATCCAAATGTTGTCTGTATGTGGCAACAATTTTGATGGTGGTTTTAATAATAAACAATAAACAGGATTGAGAAAGAATATCAAATAAAAATACTTATGTTATTATTCTATAATGCCTGAAAAAAATGTGAATCTATGCATATAAAATAAGGTTCCCTTCCTTGTGTACATTGCATCTAATGTCTTATTTGGTGTATATAATCTACTTTGATTTATTTATGTATTTATATATGTACCGTGTTCCCCCTGTTTTCTTTTGACCCCCAAAATAAGCACTTGGCCTTATTTTTGGAGAGATGTTGTTATTTTTGAGGTACAAGAGGTGCTGAGTGTGGTCACCTCATGGCTGCTGCCATGTTGCGCTGCTGTGGCAGTGAGGTGCATCGCTGGGCCTGTCACTCTTTTTGCGATGGCCATTAGCATGACAGAAGGGACACAGTGGCTAAGGTTGTGGGAGGGGCCATTAGGTAAGGGTGTGTGGGATGTGGGGGGCATATTCCCCCCCTCTCTTTCCCCCCCTCCGGCCTCACCTCCTCACCTCATTTTGTTTGCGTGGCAAGCAACTAGAGGAAATGGTGGGGACTAGCTACACATGCATTTAAATATTTTCAAGGAGGGCTTATTTTTAGTGCATGCAATCAAAAGCCCAATTGGGCTTATTATCCGGGGAGGTCTTATTTTCGGGAAAACAGGGTCTTTAGTATTTATATATTTTTTTATATTTCACATTTCTGAACCATCCATTTCCTTCAAAGACATTAAAATGTTTTATATATTAAATCTAGATTTTATATATTAGTGTTAAAAGAGATAAATTAGTGTATTACTGGAGACATATGCAAAATGAGCATATAAATAAACCTTTACATTTATTCTAGGAATCAAAAAAATGAATTCAGAATTGTTTCCAAATTCCTGAATGCTTTTTCTGGCTCAGCTTTTTATAACCCAAAAAACTTAAAATATTACATGATACTTATTCCTATTGTTGTATTTACAAGTCCAGGATTTGTAAAATTGTGATACATTCATGTTACAAGATCTCATTCATTGAGAATGAATAATTGCAAAAAAACGTTAGTTGAAATCTGAAAAACATTATTCTTTGGCAATAATATAATCAGTGGTTTAATACAATTATCTAAAAATTAACTTTTCAACTCATTCACCAAAACATTTAACTTACACTTACAGTCTTTATCCCTTCTATACATGGGAAATATGTTACTTTTTATTAGATTGACTAGGGGTCTTAATTATTCAAAGTGGTCACATGTGTCCTAAATTACCTGTCTGTTTTAGTTCATGTGGACCCTTCATGTGTTTCATTCTGTAATGTGTGTTAATCTCAATGGCTTCATTCTCACATTTGCACATAATAGTTTAGATTTATTGACAATTAATAATACTACCATGCCAATAGCAGTTTTGCTACTCCTAAAGTGTTCGAAATTGGAAAAATACATCAATGCAAGGCTTTTTAGGAACACTTTGTTTCTATTTCTCTTTTCCTGTCTTCTTCCAGGGATACCTAGCTTTTATAATTCATCATTTCACTGTAGATTTATCTTTTGGTTCAGAGACCTAGCTGCCTCCCTTACAAAAACAGTGACTCCCTTAGAAACAGGGATTTAGTTTAATTTAGTCATTCAGTTCTTCTTTCCTTATATGTCAGACTGGAATTTTGGTAGAAAATTGGAAATCAGTCAGGAAAAACTCCCCTTGGGTTAAAATTTTATCCTAAATTAGCCCCCTCAGCCTGATACCCTCCAGATGTGTTATAATTGTAACTCTCAAAATTCTTTGTCAGCATGATGTGCTGACTAAATTATATTGATATAATAGGCCATATTGCAGAGAAAATTCAGCAATCTGGCAGATTCCACTTTAGCAACAATTAAGATGTAGGATCTGCAACTGGCATTTTTGTTTTACCCGAGTTTCTCATGGCTAGAAGTGGTTGTCCCAGATGAGGAAGGGAGATGGACTGGTTGGGATTATTGTTTGGGCTATTGGGCACATTAGGAGAACATATTTTCTCATCATATAATGCCATGGCGAGTTTGGACATAAAATTCTCATCTTTTTATTCCCACCACCTCTTTTAGCACCTCAAGTTCCTCTCCCTTTCCCCCATTTCTGGGAAACATTTCTGTGACACATTTATGAAATAAGCATCATGGTGCAAATCTCTCCTCCACACACACAAACAATTTTCATTTATAAACATGCTATGACTTGAGAGAATTTGTTCTGCTGAGTAGTGGGGGAAGCTGTGCCTGTTCCTGGGTATTTTATGTGATAGATGCTGATTTCCCATTTTGATTAAAAATACAGAAATGAAGAATCAAGGGTGGTGCGTGGTGCATTCCAAGGGAAGACTTAGTGGACATGGAGGATTTCGGGCCTTGGAGTTGGTTTGTTTGTTGTTGGTTAATTCAATTTCTTAGTTACCCATCTCAGTTAATCACTCTGGGCAATTTACAGTTCACAAATATTTTTCTCAAAAAAAAAAGAAAGCTAAAACATTTAAAAACAACAATAAAGCATCCAGAATAAATATCCATAGCAGGCAACATACTTGGCCACTTAGCAGTAAAGCCAGGAAATGGGGCCTGTGACACATATTTAGCATTTCAGGTTCAGGAACATAACCAGGGTTTTAAGGGTTTATGAAAGACTAACAGGGTTGGGGCCATTCTAATCTATCGAAGAGAGGATGTTCCATAGAGCAGAGGCTCAGGACATCTCTCAGCCTGTTCCTCAGTTGCATCATACACTGCGGGGCGTATCGGGAACTCTGAATATGGAGAGGCCGCTCAGGTGCTATCTGATGCCACTTTGCATCAGATTGGTAATGTCAGTGTGTGTGTTTACTGATTTATTGGTGGAAAGCCAGGCTTCCAGTATTCCCTTTCTGGAATGTGCCACAGGAGGAAAATACCTGTGGCTTAGTTATTGAAGTTGCCACCGCTTCCTCTGTAGGTCTTTGCGGATGGTTAGATTCTAGAAAGGTTCGGCAG